CTTGTCCATCAACCGCCGCATGAGTAGGATTGTAAATGAACTCGTCATCATTATTAACGAACTGAGTTCAAGCCTTAATTAATTGAAATAGAGCTTTATTTAGCCAAGATATACAAAATGATATAAAAAAAACTTTTTCGAGTCTTAACAAGTCGAGTCAAGTTTGGTTCTCAACCAAACGAGCTATAAACCACGTATAGTACAAGTTGTGATAAAAGCTCCTTAATCTAAACAGACAGGACATGGAATTATCACCCTTGTTTCCAACTCATCAACAACCACTGACTCTCCTCCTCCACCACAAAATACTGGTTGCGTAGCCAGAATTTTTTTAACTCGGGATTGCATATTAATGTAGCTATTATTGGAATTGAGTAGACATAGTCATGGGCCAGGTCGGCCCCCCCGATTCGGCCCGAACCGGCACAAATCGGCCAGTTGACCATGGGTCTTGAACCGACCCTTCATTTCAACCAGTCCATTTCATGGTCAATACTTTATAGTTTATACATTTCAAACAGGCGGTTTCGATTTCGAACTGGAACCGAAAATAGAGGTTCGACTTTAAAAAAAAAATAATAATAATAATATTATTTTTTGAAAAAATAATATTTATTTCTTTTTAAAAATATTTATTTCTTTTAATGAGACAGGCGGCCAAGATCCGACAACTCAATGAACCGGCCAGTGCATATGTTCGGGTTGGCGATAATCGATATCAACCTGAACCGGTTTTGCCAAGACTAGAATTGAATTATCTATTAACATATTTCGGTTCGAATTGTGAAAAGTCATTCTCGAATTGTTTATACATTTAAACAAGTCAAACACAAATAGCTAAACGAACTTGTCGATCAAACAACTAGAGTTGAACATATTTGCAATCTCGATTGGGGTGAGGAAAGGGATTGTTTTGTTATTCGTATTGGAAAAGGAACTCGGGTTTCTATCGATGTTTGACAGTAGAAGGAAAAGCACTTACGAGAGTGGCTGGTTAGAATAGAGCTTCCCCAAGTCTTGACTAAACTTCGCTTCGCTTCGTTTGTTTGATCGAGACTCACTCAACTCTGTAAGAGTTTTTGTTTTTTGTTCTTTTTTAGGAAATGAGACAAATTAATTATTGGAGGCGAATTGAAAAAAAAAAAATTCGAACGAATATGATTAACAAACTGTGCAATGAGACAAATCCAAAATAGCTCGCAGGTAGGTGTGCGTCAAGCTTAATTATCCACCTAATTTGGTATTTGTCAAATCAACCAATTAATAATTTAAAAGACATTAGAGTGTTGATCCATATTATATAATCAATTAAAAAAATTAATAAGAGTACAATTGTCTTGACAATAAATGATTATCTCATTGCCTCACTACGGTAATCACTTATCCACCATTGTTGTCAAATGAATAATTTTGGCTTGAATCTTGAGATATCCAGCCCGAAATTAGATGGGGCGGCTAAACAAAAAATTACATAGAATTATATAAAATTTTTAAAATCTTAAAGTTTGATTTTTTTTTTTTCTTTTGGACAATGGGGTTGGACCCCACCCTAGCCCAAGAGTGGCTCCGCCCCTGCGTGCCACTGCCTCCGAGTCTCGGGCCACTCAACCCTCTCAGACCCTTAGCACGCCACCACATTTAGTGATGTAGGGAAGCGTGAACGATTGTGAAGGATAAAACGAGATACTCTCTCGATAAAACACAAAACTCAATTATCAGAAATCTTCTTCAAATTCAACCCACTGACTACGGTCTGGATGAGATAAATATATAGAGTCCTATTTATCTTGCCTAACAAGCTAGGCTAGATATTTATTTACTTACCAACCATAATAAAATAACTAAGGTAATAAAATAAAATGAATAATAACAATAGAAAATAAATAAGCTAAATACGAAGCCTATCATATTTATTTATAAACGCAATCGCGATCTCGTCTCCATCATCCTCCCCCGGTTGAGAAGGATTCAGCCGCGAATCCGAACCGGTCTCGTCTCCGTCAAAGTCAAAGGCATGCAAAGGGGCCAAATGCGACACGTGAAGAACATCCGACGAATGCACATGAGAAGGTAAGTGGAGACGAAAGGTATCCTGCGAGATTCAATCGACGAGCTCGTAAGGGCCGACCCAACCATCCGGCGGGAATTTAGCCCACACAAAATTGCCCACGTTAAAAGCCAATGCTCGACCATCCAATGACCCACCGAACTCCGCACACGTCCCGGAGCAAGAAAGGAACAATGCCGGCGACCCGTGGGAGAAAGGGAACCAACGGGGAGCCGACGGGTGTAAAACAATGCGGACGCCCTCATGTAAAAATTCATATGTGTTAAGGCGGCCATCGTGAAGCACCGACCTATCAAACTGCCAAGGACGTCCCAATAAGAGATGCCAATCATCCATAGCCACCACATCACACCACACCTCGTCCTTATAGGTGGACCCGACAGAAAAAGACACCAACACGCGACTATCGACATTGATAGAATTAGCCCGTTGTATCCACGCAAGAGAGTAAGGATGTGGATGTGGCTCAGTCAATAACTCAAGCTTTGCTACTACCTCCTGGTAGATCACATTGTCGCTGGCACTCGAATCAATCACAAAACGACATATCCGGCCACCAATGGTGCACGTGGATTCAAACAGCTGATGACGTAAGCCCTCATCCTCGGGAGGTAAGTGGGGCGACAAGAGAGAGCGACGAAGGACCAATGAAGTACGAATGTCCCCCGAAACATGAACCACAGACACCTCCGTCTCCTTATCGAAAGTAGGAGGACCATCATACTCGCCCGGCCTGGGCTCCTCAATCAGCAAAGCCCGTGACCCTTTCGCCTTGGTGCATTGCGCATTGCGATGTCCTGGTTCGCCACAAGCGAAGCAGCGAAGCGCGCCAGGCAGCCGTCCGCTGCCCCCAGTCGAGTGGCCAACTTCACGCCCTTCCGAAGTCATGCCAACACCCGGTGGAAGAGTCGACGGAGTCGGTGCCGTAGACGTCCCAGTCACCCCTTTTGTCGAGGTTCTAAAAGACGAGCTTGCCTTTCGAGCCTGCTGCTGTTCGACCAACAAAACCCGTTGATGCGCATCAGAAACCGTATCGGGAATAAACATATTAAGTCTATCCTAGATAGCAACACGTAAGCCACCCACGTATCTCAACACCAATTGGTCCATCGTCTCACGAACCTCCACACGAGTCAAGAGGCTATAAAAGTCCCCCGTATATCCATCAACGGAACGTGCCTCTTGCCGTAAATTCTGAAGGTGCTGATAAATTGAACGAGCATAATTAAAAGTCAAGAATTCACGTTCTAAGTGCTTACGAAATTTAATTCAAGTTGCAATTTTCGGCTTGCCCAAACGATGCCGCACACTCCTAAGTTGCAACCACCAAGTCGCCGCACGCCCGCGAAGCCTAGTCGCGACGAGCGTGATACGCCGATCATCTGGGACCTATTTATAGTCCAGCATGGACTCGACCGAAGCCCACCAATACAGAAAGTTCACAGCATTCAGCCCACCCGAAAACTCAGGAATCTCGACCTGAATACCTTGCTCCCAGCGTTAGTCGACGCTGGCCTCCATCCCACGGCAAGGACGCCGCTGCAGGCCATGGCACGCTTCCCCTCTGGCGAAAATCCCGCTGTAGCTGGTCGTCCTCCAGAAAGCCCTAGGCACGCTGTCGCTGTCCGCCAGCATCAAAGGCCTGGCCGTCCCCGTCCCGGTCCCAGCCGCGACGTCTCTGTCTGCCACCATCGAGGAACCAGTCGCGGCGCATCTGGTCTTATACATGGACGCGACGGTGCTATTCGCAGAGGCTCACATCAGCACGATCGTTGGCCCAGCCACCGGCGAAACCCTGGTTGTCGCGCCGGCACCCGCGACGTTGCTGGTAGTCACCGTCAGGCCCGTCGCGGCGCATCCGTTGCTGGTATCAGAAATCTTCTTCAAATTCAACCCACTGACTATGGTCTGGATGAGATAAATATATAGAGTCCTACTTATCTTGTCTAACAAGCTAGGCTTGATATTTATTTACTTTCCAACCATAATAAAATAACTAAGTTAATAAAATAAAAGGAACAATAATAATAGAAAATAAATAACCTAAATACGAAGCCTATCAAATTTATTTAGAACACAATCGCGATCTCGTCTCCATCATTTAGTATCTCCTTTCGGAACATCCCCTCGAACTGCATTCTTTCGGGCTTCTCGCCGGGCATGCTCGTCGTCCCCACCATGTCGAATATTGCCGAGAAGTGAAAGAAAGCCTCTCGAAAACGCACGGGAAACATGGGACTCCCGGCACCGTACGACCCGTCCACCACGCCTTGCACGAACACATCGGGCCAGATTCCCCGTATCAGCTCGAGGACCGCCTACCTTTGCTATGACTGAATGCATAATTACCATACCTTAGTGACAGTTAAGCTCAAGAGAGAAAAAGTAATGGATGTGTGAAATGTGATATTTTTTGTTTTCCTTTTGGTTTGAATGAATTGAGCACAAATACCTGAGACAGATTTTGAGGATCAAAGAGTTTTGATGACAGAATATTGAAGGGGATTTGTTGTTTGAATAAGTTGGTTGATTTGTGTTGAAAATAAGAAGATGCCCAATAGCCTAATGATTTTTCATTCATCAAAATATAAGTCATTTGTGCTTTTGTCTTTTGAATAAAGAATATGAAATTTTGCTTTGAAAAAAGAAAAAAAAAATTGCATTGAAGCAAATTATAACAGTTACTATTAGGCAGTATACATAACATTTGAAAATTTTATTGGAAAAATAGATCTATCTTTTTTATAGTTGTGTTCATTTTTGTAAGATGGACAGAGCACAACAGTAATCAACGTTAATTAAACTAAGGGCAAAATTGACATCCTTCATTGCTTGCCCTTAACTAAACTAAACTCGATTAGTTTTAGTCCTAACTACGCCTCTGCAACTCTGCAAGTGTGTGCACATTATGAGTATATGGTTGTATTATAGTTCAAGTTGTGATCAAAAGCTTCTTGACCACAACAGGCTCCCAACAAGACAGGGAAAATACGACCGTTCCTTTCCAACTCATCAACAGCCACTGGCCCTCCTCCTCCACCACGAAATCCCGGTGGTATGAACCTGAACTCTTCACCTTCCTCACGACCGAGCCCGTCAGCTCCCTCCCGAACGAGACCTGCCTAAACCCCGCCTTAACATGCCGCCCGTGCCACTGCCTCCGAGTTTCGGGCCACTCGACCCTATCGGCCCCTTCGCACGCCACCACATTCATTATATCCTTTCGAAACATCCCCTCGAACAGCATTCTCCCGGGCTTCCCACCGGGCATGCTCGTCGTTTCCACCATGTCGAATATTGCCGAGAAGTGAAACAAAGCCTCCCGGAAACGCGCGGGAAACATGGGACTCTCGGCTCCGTACGACGCGTCCACCACGCCGTGCACGAACACGTCGGGCCCGATTCCCCGTATCAGCTTGAGAACCGCCGTTTTCGACCTGTCCGGAAGGTTCTTCCCGCGGTGAGAACACGTCACGGCCAAGAATTCGCCGGGCTCAACCTGGAAGTCAGCCGTGCCGACCGACTCCCACTCCCGGGAGACGATGCCGGCAAACTCAAACGGGACGCCAAAGGCCCGCGCGTAGCGGGCCAGCCGCTGGCCGGTCTCCTCCATCATCTCGGAGGGCCGGGGGCCCGGTTTGGGAAAGTCGACGCCGGTGATCCGGAGCCTCGGGGGCCCGCCGGGACGAAGGGCCAAGCGCCGGATGAAAGTCGGCCACTGGAAGCCGTGGAGGATGCCGAAGTCGATGACGTGGACACGGGCCGAGCCCGCCGACCGGGCCGCGAGGAGCTTGTTCGAGACGAGGTTCGTGACTTTTCGGCACGTGAAAGACGCGATCGACGTGTAGTAAGCCTTGAGGCAGGTGGGGGCAGAGATCCTGTTGCACGCGAGTGATTTGTACACCTGGCCACCGGTCCCCGCCAGGCGGGCCTCAAGCCCGTCGGCAAAGTAGTGGGCCAGCCTCTCTGCCCAGTCGCCGTTGGAGGACGAGTGTCGTCTGATTTTAGTTAGGAGAGAAGCCGCGGCTCGACGGTCGCCAGACTCCACCATTTGGGCGCATTTCGTCAAGAGGGTCGACCAGTCGATCTGTTCTCTTTTAACCTTGTGAGACTTACCGAGTCGGGCCTTCCTCACCGCGCTTCTTGGGTTGTGCATGTCTTTCGAGTCACGGTCGTCGAGCGTGGAGAGCAAGAGGTTGTCAAAATCTTCTATGGGGATGTTGGACTCCGTAAAAACTTGGGGATTCTTGGTGATTCTCGCTAGATGTTCTCCCGATTTGACCGCTTTATTTTCACCTTCCGAAGGATTTTGAATTGTGACTCTGATAATGTGCAACATCTTTCCTTCCCTCGGGATGGAATTAGCCACGCGCGCGACCCCTTCTTTAAAATCCCAAACCACTGCACTCCTGCCAAAAGATCGTCTATGCTTTACAACGCTATACAAGCCACTCGACGGGCTAATGGAGGAGTCGGATGGAACATTGTGATCCATGAGACCGTCAAATGGACCGGTGGGAGATTTGAACCGGCTTTCGCGGACAACATCAATTAGATATCCGCTCGTCGAACTATGGCGATGATTGGCATAAAGCTTGGACGATTCTTGCTGCGGAGAAGGGGGGTATTTTTGTTCGAGCACCTCGTAGAAGGATCTCTCAGTCGCCTGAAAATCCAACGAGCCCTGGAGAGTGTGGGACCCATCGTCCGTGTCCTCTTCCATGAGAATCTGGTCAATGTAGCTCAAGGCGGCATCCGACACATCACAACCATTTCGACCATCGTGGTCATTGACGGTTGATATGTGGCCTGAAGAAGGAAACGACGACTTGTAGTCGAGCGCCCAGTCGGGAATCTCGGCTTTGGGTCGGACAACCGAAAGAAATCCATGGGATGAATTCAAGTGTTGATGATGAAACAGATCCATTTTTCCTAACAACTCAAATCAAGGGACAAAAAAAATAAAAAAAATAAAAAAAATAAATAAAACAAAAGTTGCAGAGAAGGTGTGATATTTTATGTTTACCTTTGGTTGGGAATAAATTGAGCCCAAATAGCCGCATGTGACAGATTTGGATGATCAAATAGTTTTGATGACAGAATATTGAAGGGGATTTGTTGTTTGAATAAGGTAGTAGATTTATGTTGAAAATAAGAAGATGCTATTATTTTTCATTCATCAAAATCTGAGCCATTTGGGTTTTGTCTTTTTTGCGACAGAGACTAAGAAAAATGAACAACAAGCAAAGTTAGCTATTAGCCCCGTTGAATTTAAGCTTTGGATCACTTGGTCTGCAATGGATTCAATCAGAATGCTTGCTTCCCCCCAATAAAATTACAACCACAATTCAAAAAAATAAATAATAAAAAAAAAAAAAAAAACAATGATGGACTAGCCTCGTTTAAGCAAAGGTTTTTTGAAAAATGTTGCGAGCCTTCATATTGAAATTGTGATTCATCGTACTCATAAGTAGGCTCACACGATCGATAATACTGAGGATTTTCATAGAGCGAATTTTCGCGATCACCACGACTACGGTGGTTCGCATCGAATTTTGATTGTGCTCATTCGTCTCGTCGATATCAATTTCTCTTGATAGTTCTAAGGGCACCATACCTCTCAAATAAAAGTGGGCAATCTTCTGTGACGCGTCATGCGGCATGACATGGACGGCATGGTCTCTGCTGAACTTGACGAACACGAGCCTCACGATCATCGTGCCATGACTCTCTTGTTTCTCTCGCCCTTACATAATAAGAATCCTAAGCATAAGCACAATATGAACTTCAATACGCATCCATTTTTATCGAATGCCTCGTACAAAATAAGATAAAAAAATAGGATTAAAATAGTCAAAGAAAAAAAAAGAAAAAAAATACTAATCTAATTACCTAATTCAATTAACATTAAGAAAAATCACAACTCAATTGATCCACTCCCCAACAACGCGTTATAACGCTGCAAATTTAAATTTTTTAAAGTTTTATTCAACAAACCTTCACTGTCTAGTGGTAACAACAAGCAATGGCCAATCCCACGAGGATTAAGAATCAAACTGTGTCTATTCTAGTATTAATCGAGTTAAAACTAATAAAGTAATAAAAGATGGGGGATTGATTTAAGGGTGATTCTACTGTCAGGTAGGCCTCAAATGACATTGTACATAGCTAACATCAGGTATACTTTAACTTAATGCCAAGTGTCCTTAAAACTTTGTACAAATACTAGAATGCCCTTACTTAAATAAACTTGTATTGAATTAACATAAAAGATCTTTAAGTATTTTTTTTCTTTAACATTCACCCTATACATTTTTACATCTTTCAGTTAAACCACTAACATGAGCCACCACCAAAAGAACTCTCATCTCATCCGAGGAAGATGGAGAAGAAGAAAGCAAAGAAAGCTATCAGATTCAGCCTCCTCCGGCGAAAAAAAAATTAGTTTCCGGCGAAACAAGTGAACGCGAGCACGGTGAACGGACAATGGCAAAATCCCGAGCGGACAACCTCAGAATCGGGTCGGATTCCAACACAGATCTGAACTCCCTTCGGTCCAATTAGGGAACTGATGGCCAGAGGTTTAATCAGATTGGTGTCGGCCCATTCGAGCCAGCAAATCTACACCTAGGTGTTACATCTTCTTGTACTTCCAAGTCCCAAATGTTCTTTGTACTTTGTGGTTAAAAACTTCAATTTTCCTTGGTGCTAATTTTATTTGGGAAAGATAGTAAGACTTGAGGTGTCAATTTTTGCTCTGTTGTGATTGAGTTGTCATCACTCATCAGTATTATGATTTTTTTTTTTTAAAAAAAAAAAAAAAAAACTAAAAACATATTTAAATTTTCTCTTCGCGTTTTTTTTTTTTCAAAAAAAAGGTGTTCTATTGTTCACTCATTGTTTTTTTTTTAATATCAAATAACCTTGGCCATTCATGGTGCCGGCGGCGCGAGAGTTCGAAGGTGTTGACAGATTTTGGTGGGTCTGTCGTAAATTGCCAGAAAATCGAAGAAGAAGACCGAATTTTAACCATATTTTATAGATCTAAAAACTTTGACCAAAGAGATTGAAGGCAGTTTTCGTCTGAAATTTTAGGAGGTGAACGATAATGAGAAGAGCTTTAGAATGATATAAAAAAATTTCCGATCAGAGTGATCGCGGGGGCTGCATACGTCGAAAGTGGGCGGCGGAGGCAACGGTTGACCATGATTTGTTTTTCTAGTTAAGATTGTGAAATTGTGTGTTGACTAGAGTTTAGAGTTGTAAACGGATATTCGACTCTTCTTATAGTATTCCATTCAATATCAAATTTTATTTTTTTATTTGCACTCGATTCGATTAAGTAGTCGAATATATTCAATTTGGTGTTCGTTTTTAGAAATTAGTTATAAATATTTAAATAATTTTAAAATATAATTTATTAGTGTACATATATTCAAAAATAAATATATTATTAAAATAAATTTAATATGATTTTTTAAATATAAATATTTTTTGTGTTATATATATAATATTATATATATATATAAATCATATGTAGAATCTTATATTTAATATAATAATGAAATTATATATAATTATTAGTAAAGAATTGAATATTCAATAATTTCAAATTGAATATGTGCATATTCATATTGAGATTCGAATAAATTTCGAATACTATGTTCGAATTTGAATTCAAATTAGAGGACCAAGTTGGTCAATATTAAGGTTTCTCGCAGTCTCTGCTCCACGTGGGCGTCGATTCCGTACTTTGTGCTCGTTGTTAATAAACAACTAGTACTATTTCACCCATGTACATGCACATGTGAAGGTAACTTAATTATATTATAAAAATTACATAAAGTTTAGATTCAACGATGTGAATAAAAATTAAAATAAAGTATTATTTATTATGAAAAATTAGTTAGTACTCCACATTATATATATGTTGACCGGTCAGTTCCATATAAAATTAAATATCTATATCTTTGTGATTGATTATTTTTAATTATTAGTATTGCTATGATCGAAAGATAACAATATTTTTTTTAAAAAAAAAAATATTTGTTATTTTTTGTTAAAAAGATGATAAAAATGTGATGGCAATATAAATATTTGTTAACATTTTTAAAAAAATATTAGTTTCTAATATTCAATTATAGAACAAATCAATGCATCGGTCCAAACCAAACATCATTGGAAAGAAATGATACGATATATTGCATTAACAAATAAAAACATTATGTATTTCAAAAAAAAAAAACTAATGGTATGAAGTTACTAAAATTTTAACTAAAAAAGTAAGACTAACATACCTATTTTTTATACAAAAAATAATAGTAAATAAATAAAAATATTTTATATACTTAAAAGTTGTAGTTAAAATAAATTTGCAACTTATGTATGTTTTATATTTCTCATTAACCAGCTCCAATTGATATATTGCAATGGAATTTCAATGACAATTCTAAAGAATATTCAATGCTATTGCTATCGTTTGAATTTTCTAATGAAAATTTTAACAAATAATTCGTTGGAATTATGAGCAAATCCATGTTTATTTAATAGGTCCGACACTAACACTCATCCCAAAACATATAGAATAAGGTATTCAACTAAAGTTGTGGCTTGTAGGAACATTTTTCATAATTTTAATCATGTCCCTTATTTAAAAAAGAAAATTATAAGAAATTTATATTATTGTTTTTTTTTTTCTAAAATTAATGGCCCTTGGCATTCGTTTAAGCGCTAGATGACACTTATACACTATGATTTGTTTAAGCGGCTATGCTATGCACTTGAAATAACCCTAACCCTAAACCATAAACCCTAAACCTTGAACCTAGGATAAAAAATCAAGAAAATCAATTATAACACTAAAAATTGTATAAAAATTCATGACATTTATTTTTCATTTTATTTTAATGATTTTTTATGATTCAATATGTCATATATAAGTACATATTTATATCCTTATATATTTTATTTAATTTTTGTTTCTAAAATGGCTCTAAGTATCCATTTAGACGCTAGACAACAATTACGCACTATGATTTAGTTTAAGCGGTCATGCTATGCACTCGAAACAACCCTAAACCCTAAACCATAATTTTTTTATTATATATTATATTAATAAAAATAAGTAAATAAAATAGTCATGTATCATAATTTAAATTATAGCACTTGGTAATCATAAAAAATATAATATATCTAAATATTCAAATGAATACTAATTAACTCATCATATAGGTTGATAAAATGAGTTAAAAATTTCATATAAACAAAATATATAAATTGTTAAAAAAGTTATAAGACTATGATATCCGACAGTTTTATAAGTACATGTAAATAATTTGTATACAAATATCAAATGATCATATATACATTTATAATATTTTATAATTCAAATATTATTCATCATGGACATTTATATACTTATTTATTCTATTTTATAATTATCAATAATTAAATTTAAGTCTATATTATTATTATCATTATTATTAATAGGTACTTAATTGGCAGTTGACACAGGAGCTTATTTTATCAATAATTATATATTATTAATGATCTTGTAATTTAAGTTACCCACATCTTTTGAACTGTTACGGCCTAAATATCTTTTGAACTGTTACGGCCTAAATATCATGGAGTAGGCAGGGAGTGAGTACATGGCGGGGGAAGGAGCATTTTCCAAAAAGAAATTGAAACGAGCTCCATGTTTTGGTGCGCAAAATATTAGGCAGCAACATTCCTAAAATTTAGGGCAACATCTCATAATTTCACACAAAGTTCGGATGAACTCGAAATCTTTACGTCGAGACTACTCTTCCTTGAATCGGGTCTCTCGGAATCCAGTGTTCATCTCGTCAAATCGAGCAAAACAAGGACTCATCATCAGAAGACCCGCTCTCGGCCGTTTCTGTACCCGCCTCCGGTGACTGACGA